TGGTAAATGCTAATGAAGTGACTCTCAGAGCAGCTGGAGATTACATTCGTGTTCATATCATCACATAGTGAGACGGCAGAAGCTGGAAACACCGTGAGCGTCATCCGCGCTTTAGTATGTGTGTGTATTAAACAAAAAAGTGCGCCGCACCATCCGCCATTCATTCATTGCGGAAATCATGGCGCCTTATGCGTGATATCAAATGCTTCCGCAGATTTATAGTATTACTATAGCATTTCACCTGAGCATTGCGAATTGCGCGTATGGCCATGATAAGTGCTGAATGAATGACAGGATTTCTGTTGTAACATCGCGCAAGGTAAATAAGGGTGACATCTAGAGGAGAAGACTAATGATAAGATTAACGTTAATCAGATCTTGTTTTAAATGTGTGCTGAAATAAATACTGGAAAAGATCGATTCGCGGCTTTTGAGAATCGATATCGAATCGACGTCATTTAAAAAAACTATTAATCGGAAAATTCAAGGTTTTTTTTTGCCCAGCCCTAGGTTGCATTGGTTAGCCACTTAATTAATTATCTTGTGCTTCGTTCCCTACTACTGAATTATGTTGTATTGATAAGGAGTTATCACAAAGTCTGTTTAGTTGAGCTATCTTACAATCAATATATAGTAAATGTAAGTTAAAGTGTCGCCGATGTAACCGGTTAAAACTTGGAGTGGCGAGGAGGTCTTAATGTATGGAAAGAGTCTTAAAAAAGGTCTTAAAAGATATTAAATTTAACTCCATGATTCCTGTATATACCCTGTAGTAGGGAAATAACGTAAGTGGCGATAAACCGGCTCGATCAACCAAGCAATAAACATGCTGTTAAAGATCGCAAAAAGAAGAACACAGTCGCAGAAATTGTTGAATAAAGTCGTTATTTTTGTTTTCTTTGCATACAAAAAGTATTATTGTAGCTTTGTCAAATTATGGTTGAACCACTGATGTCACATGGACTATTTTAACAATGTCCTAACTACCTTTTTGGGCCTTGAACATGTCAGTTTTGTTGCCGTCTATGCAGGGTCAGAAAGCTCTCAGGTTTCATGAAAAATATCTTCATTTGTGTTCCGAAGATGAACGAAGGCCTTACATGTTTGGAACGACACGAGGGTGAGTAATTAATGACAGAATTTTCATTTTTGTGTCAGCTATCTCTTTAATTATTGCCCAATTTCAATACTTTAAACAATTCTGACCACAACTCTATGAATTGAGAACTACACACTTCCTGCAGATATGAGTTATGACTTGCACATCTGATGAAATGCATTCCCCCTACTTCAACTCACACACACTTTGATTCATTAACTACTGTTCACCTTCGAGAAATTGGATTTGTTTTTCAATAAACCTCTCTGAACCGTTCCTGCTGATAAAATATTCCTAAAACACTGTAATTAATTAGACTATGAAATCTGCCAAGGAATAGAGTTGTTAATGCCACGTTAAAGCAGAATTTTGCTGTAATTATCAGTTTTATGCGAGTCATTTTATGTATTTTTACAGTGCCTCCCATTCCGCAGATTTGTGTAGTCACAATATACCAACATTTCAGTAGCCTGTACCGATACCTGTAAAATTTAATGGTTCTCTGTAATAGCTTTGATGCCATGGCAAAAACGAATGGAAAACACTCCTTTTAATAATTTGCATATTGTGTTGTTACATATTTGTGTGTGTCTGTATTTTCAATCCATGTACAAAAATGTGGAGTATACACTATTTAAAAAAAAAAAAAGTTTAAACTTTAGTTGACAATTAAATAGTTGACCTAACTGCTTATTTCAAGTAACCTGTTCTTTCGGTGTTTTGTTGAAAAAGTTGTCCGTACTAAAATTAAAGTTTATTTAACTTAATGTGGCATATTTTCTTACGTTGCAAATTCAACCAAATACATAAAAACAAAATTTTCCATATAAATGACAATATTTAATGTCCCTTACAAATCAAACTTAAAAGAACTAAACATTAAAAACATAGATTTTCCCTTTTTTTTTTTTTTTTTAAAGTCTATATAACTAAAGATCAAAATATTAGTGTTTATATAGTAAATAAAACATATAATACATCCATTTAAAAATGGAGATTAAATTACAAGAAAATTATTTCTCAAAAAAAGAAAATAACCAAATCTGTCAAATAAAATGATGGATAAATAAATTTAATAAAATTGTTTAAAAGGTAAAAAAATATACCAGAAACAATTAAATAATGCATGGAAATTATATTAAAGTTTAAAAAAAAACTATTTATTTATTAATTAATTAATTTTGAAATAACTTTTAAACTAGCACATGAAATCTCAAATATAATTTTGCCTAATAAAATTACATTTCAATTGCTAAGTGTTAAAAAACTGATGAATGTAAACTGTAAAAACATGAAAAACCTAACTGTAAACTTAACAATTAACAAATCAAAAGACACCCATCTTTACTTCATTGTATTTTAAAATGAGTGTACTTTTGCACTGCAGGCATGAGCTCTAGTGTCCATGAACAGCCTCTGAATTAGGGCTGCACAATTAATCGAATTTCTAATCGCAATTACAATTATGGATGCCACAATTAGGTAATAGTTCAAAGTCCATTTATGTTATTCTGCACGCTTAAGATATGTTTTTTTCTTTCTACATGTTATCTTAAAGGAGTCCTATTATGCTCTTTTACAAAGTCTTGATTTTGTTTTGGGGGTGTACTAGAACAGGCTCTCATACTAGTTTGTTCGAAAAACACATTATTTTTCACATATTTTACATTATTACAACACCTCTCTCCCCAGACTGGCATGAGCGGCTCGAATAGTTCCTGTATCAAATGAAGGCCCTCCTTCTGAAATACGAAATGTGTTGTGATTGGTTAGCTGGGCCAGCGTGTGTTGTGATTGATTAGCTGGGCCAGTGTGTGTTGTGATTGGCAGCACTCGGCGCCTGGTCGGGAAATGTCATGTCCCTTACCATAGCCGCCTGCGAGCTTCAGTGTAAATATTGCGTCAAAATCAAATCAATCTGATCGTGATTTAAACCCGGATGATTGTAATCACTCTAAGTTTGTCTGCCTTGGGAAAGCTAGCGTGTCTCCGACATTGTGATAACACTCGTTGCCTTCTCTAGTGCAGCTCAACCAGGTCTCGTCCCATTCGTCGATATTTGTGATATCACAAATCCCGGAAAATATGCGTTGTAGTCCAAACGAGTCGTTCATTGTAGTTTTTGAAAAGTGATTTCTGTTAAATAAAATATCTCCTTTTGAATTGGGCTTTGAGCTTTGTAACTTTGCAGATCTTTTTTTATGCTCAAACGGCAACATTACAGACTAACTAAAGTTGAAAATGTGAAAAAGCATAATAGGACCCCTTTAAAATATTACTAACAATTAGCAACAACAACAATAAAAAAAATTGTTCTTACGGCCTAAATATTATTTTATTTCAGTTAGTTCCAAAAGCAATATTTAAAATTGTTTCATCTATTTATTTTTTATTTTATTTCAGCTTTATTTCAAATTAAGAAAATACATTTAATAGTCTATAACTTAAGAAAATTCAAAGTTAAGAAAAACTTCAAGTATCTGAGAAGAGTTTTATGGTGCATATTTAGTACATGCTGGAATGAACAGTTAAGAGATTGAGATTACCTGGAATGGCTCGGTGACGCCCACAATGGAGCTCATATTGTTGCTATAATAACCCAGTATGAAGTCCCCAGAATCCTTTGGCAATTCTTCCTCAGTAAAAATCACCTGAAGATTCCGAATCAAAAACTCTTAAATAAAATTCACAAGCTTCAATTTGTGACTTAATGCACACAAGTGAATGTATTTTTCTTGCAGCTAAATGGATGTATGATTTGCCCTTACTTGGTGCTCCTGTCTCAAGAAATCAGACTCTTCCTGCTTGGCCCAAACATAACCCACATAGTCTTTATGATGTTTAAACCCAACCTGTGAAAATACATTTTTGTACTTAAAAACACAAATCAAGTGACAAAAATGATATTTGTATCACACTACATTTACCATCTTACTCCTATATCTAAATGCTCAGAACTGTTGAAATTATTGAAATAACCTTGTAAAGCCCAATCCAGTCCCAAGAGCTTCGAGGAAAGTTGGGTGCTGCCTTGTATTTGGCCACTGCATCGGATATCTCTGTCCATTCATCCTCTACAAAGAGTGTTACTAAAGGCATGTCCACCCTATATGGGAACTAAAAGGACCATCACATGTTAAACACATTGCACAAACTCAGCATGAAAGTTACTCTCAATAAGTGTATACATTCATGTCAGGTGAAACAGCAACCTAGTACATTCATAACGGTATTCAATGTGTAGCTTGGCATTAAGGGACTACTTCACCCAAAAATGTAATTTTATGAAAATTTAAATCACCCTTAAATCATGCAAAATGTAGTTTGTATCTTCATAGGAACAGATCTGGAGAAATGTACCACTTGCTCACCAGTGGATCTTCTGCAGTGAATGGGTGCCGTCAGAATTAGAGTCCAAACAGCTGATTAGAACATCACAATAATCCACACGATGCCAGTCCATCATTTATCTTGTGAAGTGAAAAGCTGCATGTTTGTAAAAATCAAATCCATCATTAAGATGTTTTTAACTTCAAACCAATGCTTCTGGCTAAAATACAGGTCCAAAATCCCTAATAACGCTTCCTCTGGTAATAAAGTTCATTGCCTGTTGTCCTCTCACATCAAAATACACCCACATATTTGTTTAGAACTGTTTTGGACTGCATATTTCTCTCCTGATTCACACGAGATGACTTTTTCACTGGAATAAGCAATGTTATGTTTAGAGGACTCGTATTTTAGCTGGAAGCAACAGTTGAAAGTTTTCAATGTCTTAATGATGGATTTGTTTCTTACAAACACACAGCTTTAGGCTTCACAAGATGTTAATTGATGGGCTGGAGTCATTGCTTGTGGATTACTGTGATATTTTTATCAGTTGTCTGGACTCTCTTTCTGACGGCACCCATTCACTGCACAGGATCCATTGGTGAGCAAATTCTCAAAATTCTCAAAATCTCCAAATCTGTTCCTATGAAGATACAAACTCATTTACATCTTGGATGGCCTGATGGTGAGCAAATCTCACCGTACTCAATGTCTCGATATTTCATATTACCCAAAAAAAAGGAATTAGTCATTATAACTATAGCCATGTTAGCGTGCTTACCTGCAGAGTGAAAATAGAGGAGACGGGCTTGTGGTCACTGATGGTGTACTCCATGTGACTGCGGTAAAAATGCTGAGACACACAAGTTCCGCTGGTTAGACCTGACAAGGAGCTGCGCTTCGACATGCTGTTGCTGACCTGAGCCATCGGCCTCGACCTCCAAAGAATACGATCAGTCCATGCTGGCTTACGCTTTTTACCACTAAGAAAGATAAAGATTCACTTAAATAGCAATGCAATAATAACAGTAGCACTGCAGGAACTAAATACTACAGAATTGCAGGAATAGCAGCATATATTCACTTATATAAAGGAATATTGAATTTTACTTGATCACTTTGAAAGAAAACTATGGAAGTTTGTTTCCATCACTGAATAAAAAATAAAAAAGGCAACTGCGACTTTATATCTCACAATTCGTACTTTTTTTCAAGCAATTGCAATTTTACAGAATGTCTCGTAATTCTTACTTTTTCTCAGAATTGCATGAGTTGACAAGTTGTGAGCTACAAAGTCAGAACTGCATGATATAAACTTGCAATTGTGTGTTTTAAAGCCAGAATTGCGTGATATAATCTTGTATTTGTCAGAAAATGTCAGAATTGTGAGCTGATGTTTTTTCTCATCATTGGAAGTTATAACTCACAATTGCAAGTTTTTATCTCACAATTCTTAGAAAAGAGGTCAAAATTGCTTGAAAAAACTCACAATTGCGAGAAAATCTCAGAAGAGAGTTCATATCTCACATTTCTGACTTTTTTAAAGGGGTCCTATTATGCTCTTTTACAAAGTCTTGATTTTGTTTTGGGGGTGTACTAGATTAGAACATGCTCTCATGCTTGGTGGTTCGAAAAACGCATTATTTTTTACATAATTTACATTATTAAAATACCTTTCTCCCCAGCCTGGCACAAACAGCTCGATTAGTTCCGGCTTTGATGAAGGTCCGTCTTCCGAAAAACAAAATGTGTTGTGATTGGTTAGCTGTCCCAGTGCGTTGTGATTGGCGAACAGCTTAGACAGTGTTTCAGTACTGTCACGCCCCTTGCTCCGTCTTTCAACAAAAGCTTTTGGTGAATCCGGCACTTTACTCCCTCATGTTGTGGAAGCTGTCCTTAGTAATATGCGCAGCACACAATAGCAAATTGGGGTTATAATGCTCAGGAACAGAGTTAAAAAATAAATTGCAACCACTGTTTCCTGACATCATCTGCTTTCGGAAGCCCAAACAAAGAAGGTGAAAAAAATCTGCGTTTCAGGAGGTTGCGCACCGGACGAGAAGCGCAGCGTTGCGTCGTGCCACGTCTTTAAAATTAAAATACATTATTTTCTATGAGTGTAGGCACACCGGCGGCGCCGTTCAGCGTCTGTCCGCGGCGCCCAGCTACGTCGTGTTGTACTTGTAAGAATTGTTCTAGATGTGCCGAAAATTTGACGCTACAGCACAGCAGCTCTTCTTCTTCATTTTCTCTGATGCACTAACTCTGCAGCAGCACTTCTTCTTTATCGTCTCATCTGATGCACTCACTCAACCAAGCGTTCTAACCACAACCTCGCCCCTACCCACCCCCCACACCCCAACCATTCGAATTTCTGTAGACGGGAATTATTTGTAATGATATTCCAATGAGCCGCTTTGTGATATCACAAAGCCCGGAAAACAAACGCTGTAGTCCAAACGAGCCGTTCGTTGTAGTCCTTGAAAAGGGATTTTTAAAAAACTAAATATCTCCCTTTGGAGTGGACTTTGAGATTTGTAACTTTCTAGAACTTTTTTATGCCCAAACATACATACTACACACTGACTAAAATTAAAAAAGTGAAAAAGCATAATAGGACCCCTTTAACATGCAATTGTGAGTTTAAATCAAAACTGTGAGATAAAAAGTTGCAAATATTATTATCTTTTTTATTATTCAGTGGGGGAAACAAACTTTCACAGAAAACTGTTTATTGTACTATAAAATAACATAACTCCCTCCCCAATCCAAAAAGAAGCAGAAACAGCTTGTTCTGACAGCAAATTAATTTTGCAATTAAAGTGCCCCTATTATGGATTTTTGAAAATGACCTTTCATGCAGTGTGTAACACAGCTCTAAGTGAATGAAAACATTCTGTAAAGTTTTCAATCTAAAAGTGCACCGTGAATAAAGTTATTGTCTCTCAAAAGAAAGAGTCGACTCTGAATCATTGAAACTAGTCATTTTTAAAATGAATCCCAAGCCGTTTCATGTTGACGTCAACATGAAACATTAGTATATTGCCCGCCCACTTGGTGTTTTCCCGTTGGTCTGAATGAAAATGCAAATTCATTTTTTTGCCACTAGGTGCAGCTTTTGGAGAGGTAAAAAATAGCGGTTTCCCCGGTAACGCTGTACACAAAGCAGCACTGCGCTCACAAACGCTGCTTTATCAGGCATTACAGGCATG